TACTCCACAGGACTACAGTACTCCACAGTACTACAGTACTCCACAGTACTACAATACTCTACATTACTCCACAGGACTACAGTACTCTACAGTGCTACACAGTACTACAATACTCCACAGGACTACAGTACTTTACAGTACTCCACAGGACTACAGTACTCCACAGTACTACAATGCTCTACATTACTCCACAGGACTACAGTACTCCACAGTACTACAGTACTTTACAGTACTACAGTACTCCACAGTACTACAGTACCCCACAGTACTACAGTACTCTACATTACTCCACAGTACTCCATAGTACTATACAGTACTAGTACTACAGTACTCCACAGTACTACAGTACTACAGAACTACAGTACTACAGTACTCCACAGTACTACACAGTACTCTACAGTACTACAGTACACTAGTTCAAATGCTCCACATGAACGTCCTCATGGTTCAAACATTTTATCGTCGGAGGTGACGACTGCAGCTTCTTCTTCTTCTTCTTCTTCTTCTTCTTCTTCTATGGTTTAATGTGTCTCTACTTCCTGTGATTGGTCCAACAAAGTGTTTCCACTGTGAACCAACAGAACCAGGTTCAGTTTGATCCAGAACCAGAACATCTGGTCCGAGGAACCGTTCACAGCTGAAGCTCTGAAGCTCTGAAGCTCTGAAGCTCTGAAGCTCTGAAGCTGTGAACGAGTTCTGAGATGAAATAAACGGAGTCGTGTCTTTTATATGAACTAATTTCTGAACAGGAAACAACGAAGATGTTGGTTCAACATGTTTTTATCTTCACTCGTTCTTAAACTGGAACTGATCAAACTCTCTCTCTCTGTTTTTATGTCTCTTGCTCTTATTCTTCTTTTGTCTTGGTCACTCCGAGGTTTCTCTCTCTCTCTCTGGTCATGTGATTTTGCTGTAGGGATGAGAAACAGTGCAGGAATCTGAGCTGCATCCAACATATTACATAAAGTCTCTCTCTCTCTCTCTCTCCCTCTCTGTCTCTCTGTCTCTCCCTCTCTCCCTCTCTCTCTCCCTCTCTCCCTCTCTCTGTCTCTCTCTCGGCCTGGTTCTTGTCTGAAGTGAATGAACTCACTTCCTGAACTCTGAAACAGATCGACGTCAGGAGACAGAGAAAAGAAAGATGATCGTGTTCTTCAGTCATTACAGACTCTGACACGGTGGAACAGTGTGACGCCGTTTGAATCCGACTGTTCTCTGGACACTGATCGATTTCCAGACGAACATCGATGCAGTGAACAGACGGTCGATTAACATGTAAAACATATTTTTACTATGTGTGCACAAGAGAATTAACTAAACTTTACAACTCTGGATGCAAATGTCCAGTGATGGAGAGAACTCTGTTAAAGACGTGATCTGTCATTAACTACGCACATTAACTGTAACTTTGTCGGCTCCATGTCGGAATTTTATGATCAGGCATGTCGGAGGTAACCACGGGAACCTTTGGGGTGGGGCTTGCAGCGATGAAGGTGCCTGATTGGTCGATTTATTTCTGCTGGTAACTCATTGCGATGACGTCGAGTGTTTCAGACGAGTTTCTCATGTTTGCTTGAAACCAGGTTTACTGTTGTTGTGTTGCTTAATCGATTTAGCCTCATCGTTGTGTTACTGCCGCCTGGTGGACTGGAGTGGAATCGTAGCTTGTTGTAGCCGTCGGCAGGATGTCTTGATCTCCACCGATGTTAACGCAGGCGAACATTCAACCTTCAGATGTTCTTCAGAATAAAAGTTCCAGCAACTCCTGTTTAAAAAGTGTTTTCTTGACTCTTCAGTTAAAAACTGATTGAAACTGTTTTATCTTCTCTCAGATTTTCTTTCTACTAAAAGTTCAACTTTCACTGGAGCTCAGCGCGTCTCCTCTGCTCCTCCCTTCCCTCCATTGTTCTCCTCACCCCCCGCCTCGACTTCATCTCCCTCCTCCTCCTCTCTGTAGTTCCTGTCCTCCTCTTTCTTCATCACCTCTCAGCCTCTCCCTGCTGCGGCTCTCGCTCAGCTGCTTTCCTCCTCTTCTTCTCCATTTTCTACTTTCTCCCCCACCACTCTCTGCCTGTGTCTCTCTCTCTCTCTCTCCTCCGTCCAGCTGTTTGCTGAGCTGACGTTTGTCTCTTTGAAACTGAAGCTCAACACCAGACTGTCAGAATAAGTTTAGAGCGAGATGTTTCGAAAAACAAGGAAAGTTGCTGCACTAGAGTTTT